TGCCTGTAGTCCCAGCTACTCGGGAGGCTGAGGCAGGAGGATTGCTTGAGCGAGGAGTTCATCCTGCAGTGAGTTACAATGGCGCCACTGCACTCCACTCTGGACAACAGAGTGAGACCCTGTCTTAAATGCAGACATTGCTGGTGGCCCTCAGAGGCACAGTGGCCCCCACGGAGCACCCCTATCCCAGTCCTGTGCTCTCCATGCCTGGCTGCACAGCACAGCCTCCTGGGAACAAAAAAAACAGCAAACCACAGGTCCCTGGGCCTCACTGCATCGGAGTCTCTGGGGAGGCCCGGACGTGTGACTGTGAACGCTGCCTGGGGAGATCGTGGTGGTCGATCTAGGACTACAGCGAAACCCAGTCCCAGGTACACTTTAGAAAGGTGGACTTCACGGTGTATCAGTTATACCTCAAAGCTGCAATTCGAAATCAAGGAGCTCCCAGGTTATGCTGACATAGCCACCCAGCATGTGCCCCCGGGGTGACTGGCAGCCTCCACACTCACGGGGCCCCAGACTTTCGGAGCATAAGGCCCCCTGGTGCTCGTTAAACACCCAGGTTCCCAGCCTCCCCTGAGGCATCGGTTCTCCAGGAGGGTCACAGAATCTGATTTTTAGTAAGTGCCCCAGGCAAGGTGGGAACCTCTGGAGTGTTCTTATAGGAGGGAACAGTCTGGGATGTTTGGGGAGGGCAGGGTCGGAGATGGGGCCTGGGAACACGGGCGTTTCCAGCAGATGCAGAGGCCCTACCCCATGTACCTGGGGCCCGTGTCTGGGAGCATCTCACAGGCGAAGGAAGGGAGACACGCAGGCAGGGACTCCCTCGAGGGGAGCAGGAGGTGGGCCTACAAAGATCCCATGTGCCCCAGAACTTGAGTGTGACACAAAGAGCCTGGAACCTTCAAATGCAAGACTACAGGAGCCAGCGACAGCTACTACGTGTTCAGGTGTGAAATAGCTAAGACGCAAAGGTGCTGATGGACTGAGAGGACAGGCTTGTTTACGGGTCTGTCCTGGGAGCTGCCTAAGTGACACACAGGAAGCCAGCCTTGTTCCTTTAAAGTCCAGCTGTAGCTTTTGACTGTTTCCAAAATTCCACTTAAAAAGCACCGTTTGCATCCATGAGGTTGCTCAAAAGCACGTGCTCAGAGCTGTGCGTGTCTGATTCCCGGGGTACACGGCAGCCGGTGGGAATGAGGGCCCGGCCCCACCAGGTGACAGTGGATGTTCCTTTCCGGCCTGCAGCCTGGGGCACGTCGTCTCAGGGCTTCGCAAACGTACAGTCCCCGATGTGTGCTGTTTGTCTCAAACACAGTGTTTTACTTTTTAAAAATATATTTGCCAACATTTTAAAATCGGGAGGATTTATGTGAAAAGCCTCACTTAACCTTGGAAAACTGGAATATCAGGCCCAAATTCCCTCAAAGCCACCCCTGGCTGAAGCGGACCTCACGCTGGGGACACAGCCTGGCCTACCCCTGCCAGCCCGAGCCCACTGCACTCCACTGGCCAGCACGGATGTGCGCACGCCCAGCTCCTGCCTGGGAGCCAGCTGGAGTCCCGGAAGGGGTCTTGATTTTCACCAGCAGCTGCTGGGGGTGTGGGCACCTGGCTGGATGCAGGGTGGGCAGGCAGGACCCCACCTATGCACTACTTTAAAAGAGACAGGCTTGTTCTGTGAGATTCTCTTGGACGAGAGGGACACTCTAAGGGCTGCTGAGTGTCCCCAGGGTCGTTTCCGTGGTCCAGCTGGGGCTCTCTGAGCACACATTGTGGCTGGCGGCAGACAACCAGGCTGTCCCTCGGGCCGGCTGCAGGGGCAGGCCCCAGACATGGGCGGGTGGGGCCACTGTGGCCCTGGAGGTCTCTGAGGGGCTTTTCACAGCAGTCTCTGGCACCACACAGAGGACAGATGAGTCCTTTGACTGGGGTCTACCTCCCAGTGAGGGGGAGGCCTCTTGGGGTGGCCAAAATGAAGATCTTTTGAAGCAACCCTATTTCTAGCTCCTGCATTTGGAAAGGTCTCTGGTTTCTAAGCCACAGCTTGTAATTTGGCAATGTATACATTTCAAGTGAGCCTTAAAAGAACACAGCTGTTTTTGGGGTGGGGGAGTGCCGAATCCTCCTGGGGAGGGCAGGAGTTGGGGGGCGCTTCCAGGGTGACCAAGGTTTGTCAGTGGCACGGCACGAGGCGCTGGGGAGCCTGCTGGCGAAGTTCTGCCCTGCTTTCTGGGGCCATTTCTCACCTCTTGGGGAGTAACACAGTTGCAGACCCTGGTGACGCCACAGCAAGGAGAGGGCGGGGGTGGGGGAGAGAAACCCTCCTCTGGCAGTTAAGTGTGTGTGTGGAGGGTCTCTGCCTACAGCCCCCAAATCCATGGAGAGTCAGAGGTCAAGCCAGCCAAGATGATGGCGAAGGGCGGGGTGCAGCGCAGGGTGATTCCAGTGTCCCTAAGGAGGCCCTGCACAGAAGGCCCTTCCGGCCAGTGCCTGCACTTCCACCTTCAGCTGTCTGCCTGCGGGCACTGCTGGTGCCTTTTTGCTGTCAGTTGTTTATACTGTAGGGTTCATGAGCTGACGGTGTTTGAAAGGGAGAAAGCGTTCAGTGACCTGCATCGGCGGGTTAGGGTTAGGGTTAGGGTCCTTTTCCCGCATCGGTGGGTTGTGAGCTGCGCGGCGGTGCAGGGTGGTCTCCATGCAGCATCTCCATTCCAACAGCACCTGAGCTGGGACCCTCTGCTCTGCAAGAACCATCTCCCCCGCTTCCTGCCTGGTGTCGGAGCAGCCGCGCTCACACTCCTCCCCACATGATCAATTCATCTGTCTTAAAACTCAAAGTCTTGTGTCCTAGGAACCCCTCTCACTGCCAGGCAAACCAGGGTAGCTGGTCACCCTATTCCGTGTCCAGCCTGGCCTTCCTGCTGTGTCCCAGGCCAGGCGTTGTCCCCTTGTGGACAAGGAGGCTGGGCCCAGGGCCTTCTGAAATCCCCCTCTGCTGGCCTCGTGCTTGGCTCCACCGCTCCCCAGCTGTCTTCCCCTGCCCATGGGGCAAGCCACGCTCCTGAGGCAGCCGCCCAGGCCCCCCCTCTCCAGTAGGTGCAGCTCCCCCTTCCAGCTTCCAGGCCTACAGGCCCCACCCTCTGCACTGGGCAGGGATTCTGCCTGCGGCTCCCGCCTGGGACCAGGCCAAAGGCCAGCCTCCCCCCACCCACCCAGGGACAGCACTGTCTTCTTCCAGGATTGCTCCCAGCTGGCCCGCTGTGGGGCTGAAGTCCCCACCTCCCAAAGCACCCAGGAGGCCTGTACGAGTGCAGAGACCCACCAGGCCCTCCTCACTCCCTGGGCTGCAGGCACTGACTCAACAACCTGAGACGTCGGCTGGGAAGATGGCTTTGCAGGAGCCAAGTGGGGACAGATATGAGGGCTGTGAGGAGTGGAGGTCCCTGGGTACCGCAGGTCCATCACGGCCTGGCCTGTGTGTGGCGACGGGGCACAGCGCCCGCCCCTGCAATGGAGGAGGCGGAAGTCGGGCCCCTCAAGTCTAGCAGGTTTGGCCTCCTGAGTGGGGGCCAGAGAGCTTGAGCCTGTCGTCCCTCTACTCTGGCCCACAGACTGAGCCTGGGGTGGTGGCCATAGCGGGGGCCAGCAAGTCCCACCTGCCCACAAAGAGGGTACCTGGCCTGTCCCCTTATCCACGGTTAAAAAAGTGGAAGATTTTACTCAGGGCAAAAGTTGCCAAAAGTATTCATCTTAGATATAGGGGTAGGGGCTGGGGCTGGGCAGTCAGCTGGGACAGGTAAGCCATGGGGCAAGAGGGGTTTGGCCTCACTTGGACACAGTCCTTGGAGAAAGAAAAGAGCAGTCCGGCAGGGGTGGGTGCGGTAAGGAGCTGAGCAGGGACTGTGGGGCCATAGGAACGGGGCAGAGACTCCGAGGGCCACCAAGGCCTGGGGGGAGCCTAGAGCCCCCGTCCTCCCCAGGGCAGCCAGAGGGGAGCGAGTGGGCCCCTCTCCAGCTCCCTCCTGGCAGCTCTCCCCACCCCCACCTGACCCATCCCAGGGATCTAGTGCACATGGAGCGGGGCTGCTTCGAGCCTGTGCAAAGGGGATGGTTTTAGTTTCTGTGAAATGGGAGAGGGCTGTCACTAGGACAAGACAGGCCAAACTAGGGGGCAAGAAGGGAAGAGGAAACGAGACTGAGAGAGGAAGGGGAGGAAGTTGAGCCGGGGGTTCAGCAGCCCCAAGAGGTGGGCCTGGGGAGCCCTGCGCTCTGCGTCCCAAGGCTGGTCACGGGGTTGTCACAGCACAACTCGTGACCTCACAGTTCGCTCTTTTCCCACCAAACCTGTGGGCAGCCAGTTCAGAAAGCGGAAAGACTCCGAACAGGCTCACAGGGGCCCTGCCCAGGCCACACAGCGCCCGCCGTGCTGGGGCATCCAGGGCGGCTCACCCGTCTCCTCGCGGATTGGCCAAGAAGTAAATACAAACAATCAGGTTTCGTTAACTATCCAATGTGTGACAGTGATTACTGGAGGAAATTACATGAAATAAAAAAGGATGCCTGTAGTAAAAATTGGTTCCCAGGGGAAAATTGGTCTTCGTAGAAATAACAGCCCCCAAATGAAATGCACGGCGGCAGGAGCGCTATTGGAACAGATTCTGATGCACTCGTTTCAGCAAATAAAAAGGAAAGTATTTTTAAAACCACTTTGTGTTGTATTGAAAATTGGTCAAGGAATTAACTTGGCTTGGTGGAAAATTCACTCTAAAACCCTGTGTTCGCCATGAAAATGCAGAATAAGGAGGACTGTGTTGTTTGTATTTATACACACAGAGTAAAAACAGCCATGGGTGAACATGGGGTGTCCCTTATACAGACCCCTCCCCTATGCCCAGGGCCCCCCACCCTGTCCTGGGCCAGGCACAGACACCCAGGTCTCAGCCGGGAGCATAGAGGGGACCTGGCGGTGGGAGCACAGGTGGCAGCTCATGGGTTGGTGGGCTCCTCAGGGGGCTGTTTGCTGGCTCGGGATTCGAGGCGCAGAGGTCTCAAGGGCCTGGCAGGCCCTGGGGCTTGCTGGGGGTCCCTTGGGTGTGGGACCAGCGGCGGCAGCAGTGGCAGAGGCGGCAGGGAAGGCGGCCGAGCTGGCATCATCGGGTGAGAGCCCAAGACGTCTGAGTAGGTGCTGGTGCGGGGGCACAGGGCTGGAGGCAGGAGAGACCCCAGATGTCCCAAGAGCACCCCTGGGAAATGCTGGCCTGATGGGGGCACCCCACCAAGGAGGGGGGGAAGCCCTGGCCTGGAAGTGCTTTATGTGCACGGCAGGGTGGGCACCACACCTCACCTGGTCCCCGGCACCCTAAACTTCCAGGGGGGTAACCCAAGATAAATGACACCAGAAGTGGGTGCCACAGTGGAGCAGAGAACACAGGGCTTAGAGTCCAGGACCCTGGGCTCAGGTCCCAGCTCACCCGCTCTGTGACCTTGGGCCTCAGCTCCCTTCACTTTAAATGGGTTAACTGTACCCACCTCCCAGGCAGGATCGGGGAGGTTAGGGAGAAAGTGCTCTGCGCATTGTGCAGGGCCCCAGTGCCCGGCACAGGGCGGTACCGACCGGAGGAGCGCACGCGCACAACTGGCTCCCACGCACGGCTCCCTGTGCCACCCCAGCAGCTGGGTGGACACCTGGGAACAGATGCCTGACCCGGGTCCTGGGGCCTAGAAATTCCCCTCAAGGACGAAGCAGCAGCCCTGACAGCTGGGCGAGGCCCCAGGGCCCTGCCTCCCCAGCTAGGGCCTGTCAGGTGATGCAGCCAAGGCAGGTAAGAGGTGGGTGAGGCGGGGATGGGGGCCATGGGGAGGGACCAGTGACCCTGCCAGGATCCCAGCTGGGCCAGGGTCGGGGGTCAGGTACTCACGGGGGTAGATGGCACCAAGCGAGGCACTGGAGCCCGCACGATCATACAGGCTTCGAGATGGGGGACACGGAACCTTCACAGCTTAGCGGACCAAAAAGGGGAAGAGATGGGAGTGGGTTGGGGCTCTTCCAGAGTTCCGTGCCCCCTGGAGGCCCTGTGGCAGGCCAGACATTCCACCGGGGGACCAGCCCTGTTTCCCAGGCCCACCCGCCCCTCCACGCTCAGCCCTGCCCACTCCTTTGTGGAAGAATGTTGCTCCCTCCTTGCCTCCTTGAGTCTAGGCTAAGGGAGTGAAAGAAGGCTTCTTTTTTTTTTTTTTTTTGAAACAGGGTCTCACTCTGTCACCCAGGCTAGAGTGCACGATCACGGCTCGCTGCAACCTCGACCTCCTAGCCTCGAGCGATCCTCCTTCCGCGGGCTTCCAAAAGCGCTGACACTACAGGCGTGAGCCCCCGCACCTGGCAAAGGCTTTCTGAACGTAACTCAGGCCTGGGCGGAGAGTGATGCTGTTTTAGCGCGTGAGACGCGGGGAAATACTCGCAAGATTGTTGGTGGCTGGATGTCAGGCGGTTCTTTAGATTCCCCGCGGGGCCGGACCGCCAAATGCCTCCTCCCCCATGTCCTGTCCTTCACCTTATTTTTTTTTTTTTGCATTACTTGAGATAAAACTCATGTAACATGAAACTAACCATTCTAAAGTGTACAATTCAGAGGCATTTAGTACATTCAGTGTTGTACGACCCACCTCTACCTGTTCCGGAACATTTCCATTACCCCAGAAGGAGCCCCTGTCCCATTTAGCAGTCACACTCAGTTCTCCCGCCCTGACCTGGCAGCCACCGGTTTTCCTTCTGTCCTAGGGATGTACCTATTCTGACATTTCAGGGAAACGGAATCCTACAATGGGTGGCCTTTTGGGTCTGGCTCTGTCCTTCCTTTCGAAGCCAAAGCCTCCCCTTCTCCCTGTCCAGCCAAGAATCACCGTGTCCCCAACAGGCCACCCACCTGGATCCCTGCAACTTGGGAACACCTTACATGGCAAACGGAGTTGGAAGAAGTTAAGGATCATGAGGAGAAGCATCCCGGTGACCCAGGTGGCCCTTGTAAGGAGGAGGCAGGAGGTCAGAGAAGAGGTGACAACAGAAGCAGAGGCCAGAGTGACGCTCCTTGGAGAGGGAGGAAGGGCTCGACCCACGGAGGCAGGTGGCCTCCAGAAGCCGGAACAGGGAGGGAAACAGACTCTCCCCGGGACCCCCAGGAGCACAGCCCTGCCTCGACTTTAACCCAGGGAGACCGATTTCAGACTTCTGATCTCCAGAACAAACTAACATAAATCTGTGTTGTTTTGAGTCACTCAGCTTGTGGTAGTCACAGCAGCTGCAGGGGGAAAAGGAACGCAGATGGGGTCCAGGCTGGGCCGTGTGCTTTAGTCGGTTCCCTGGGAGCTGGTGGAGGGGCGAGGCTGGAGGGGTGACTTCGCCCTCAGCTCCCTCCTGCCTCTGCTGCTTCCATCCGCCACCTCCTCCCCAGCCCTGTCTGGGCTGAGCCTTCCTTCCCTGGAGGCCTCTCTGAAAGTCCAGCCTGCTGACCGCCAGCCCGGCACGTACGCCCTCCCGCAGGCACTGCTCACTGGGGACCAGGTGTTTGTCTGCGCCTGACTACAGCTCCGGAATCTGGAGGCCAGAGGCTGGCCACAGGGCTCTCAGTGGCCCGGGGGCTGGCAAAGGGCTGTGTGCACAGCAGGAGCACGTAGGACACCTGGGATGAACAATGAATGGACCTGGGACCAGGCTGGAGCTGGGCAGGGCTCACCCTGGCTGCTTTTAGGGTTAGATGGCAAGTCTGTTTTGAATTAGAATCTTCTTTTAGGTAAATAAATGAGCAATAGGAGCAAACTGTTCAAGATCTGGCAACAGACAGGTTTCCAACTGATTTCTAATACAGATAGTCCCCAATTTACAATGGTTTGACTTTGATTTTTCGACTTTACAATGGTGCAAAACTGTCCCAATGTCAACATAATGTACGGTATTCAATAAATTACATGAGACATTCAACACTTTATTATAAAATAGGCTTGGTGTTAGATGATTTTGCCCAATTAGAGGCTCGTGTACGTGTTCGGAGCACATTTAAGGTAGGCGAGGCTAAGCCATGATGTTCCGTAGGTGAAGGGTATTAAATGCATTTTGACTTCAGATATTTTCAGTTTATGGCAGGTCTGTCAGGACGTAACCCCATCGTAAGTTGAGGAGCACCTGTACTAGTTAGGCTTTGTCACCCCAGCAAGACAGCCGAGACCTTCGCGATTCAAGTCCTGGTTCGCTGTGTAGGTCTCAGGAATGAATGAGCCATCAGGGAGAAGGCCCTCCCTCTGGGGTGACATCCTGGGGCCAGGCTAAGAGGTGGTGGATGTCATAAGTCCTGGCCCCTCCCAGCAAGCACCCTCACCTGCTCATTTGTGAAACACATCTCCAGGTGGCCGCAGGGAGCAAGGAGGTGGGGCTCATTAAACATTAGCCATTGTCGTTACCCTGCTCGGTGATCCCTGCAGCCCGGCCCAGCCCCTCCCAACAGACCTGAGGTGGGGCAGGCAAGGCGGGTGGCCTGGAACAGCCAAGCCTCCCCAGGAGAAGGCCCATCCCACCCAGGGAGAACACAGGGTTCAATATGGTCTCCTGAGCTCCTGGAAATGGTGGGGGCCTGCAGTGCGGTCGCATGTGGTCCCCAAAACGATCTGTCCCCCGGAACCTGTGAATAAGACCTTATTGAGAGAAAGGGTCTGTGCAGGTGTAATTAAGTTAAGGATCTTGAGATGAGATCATCCTGGGTTAGGCTGGGCCCTAAATCCAAAGACAAATGTCCTTATAAGAGGAGAGGAGGCCAGGCGAGGTGGCTCACGCCTGTAATCCTAGCACTTTGGGAAGAAGAGGCCGGAGGGTTGCTTGAGCCCAGGAGTTCGAGACCAGCCTGAGCAAGAGCGAGACTCTGTCTCTACAAGAAGTAAAAAAAAAAGTAGCTGGGCATGGTGGCCTGTAGTCCCAGCTACTTGGGAGGCTGAGGCAGGAGGGTGACTTGAGCCCAGGAATTGGAGGCTGCAGTGAGCTATGGGGACACCACTGCACTCCAGCCTGGGCAACAGAGTGAGACCCCATGTCAAAAAAAAAAGAAAAAAGAGAAGAGGAGAGGACAGTGCAGGAGGCGGCTGTGTGCTGACAGAGGCAGAGAGTGACGGGGCCACAAGCCAAGGAGCACCAGCAGCCGCCAAAAGCTGGAAGAGGAAGGAAGGATCCTCCCCGGGAGCCCTGCTGACACCTGGACTTGGGACTTCCAGCTCCTACAACTGTGAGACAATAAACTTCTGTTGTTTTAAGCCGCCCAGTTTGTGGCAATTTGTCGTGGCAGCCCCAGGAAACCGGCGCAGGATGCTTCCTTCTTTGCCGGCACGTCTAATAAAACGGTCCCCTGCCCTTTCTCACGTCCGGTGTTTAGTCCTCAAGTCAGTGGGGAGAAAGGTCGTGGGGAAGAATTTCTGCGGGCGGAGCTCAGCCCTGCGGGTGACCTCTGGACGCGGCACGTGCAGCTCCCACCTGAGGCACAGTTGAGAACTCCTCTCCCCAGAGGGGAAAACACCCCACGGGGATGTGCAGAGAAAGCTCCCCTTTTTGGGTTGCAAGCCCATGATGGAATCTGGAGTCCTGGGGTCCCAGGCAGGAGCCAGCTGGAGCAGGAGCCTCCGCACTGCAGTGACCACAGCAAGCATTCCAAATGTCTGGGTCTCCCGCTGACCCAGTGGTCCAGGGCCCGGTCCAGCCTTCTCCTCCTCACCCTGGCCCCATGCCAGGCTCTGCACTCCGGGGAGACTCTGCTTCCTGAGTTCCTGCTGAGCCTGGTTCCGCCCACCACAGAGCCTTTGCACCCGCTGTTCCCTCCACCTGGGCCACCCTCCTCCCCCTGACTCATCAGCCAGCTCCACGGCAGCTGCTCTAAGGACTGGCGTCCCTTGTCACCACTCTCCCACCGCCAGCCCGGCACCCCTTCCCCAGAGGGACCAGCTACCCCCTCCCTAGACCAGCTCTCCCTTCAGGCCACTGTTTGCCTGTTTGCAACAGCCCATCCACATCCTCGCCTGCTGGTGATTCGCTTACAGTCGGCCTCCCCTGTCGGCCTCCCCCATCATGCGTGGACCACGGGGACAGCCCATCTCTTTGGTTTCCTACTGTCTCCTGGTGCCTGTTGTGGTACCTGGCACACGGTGGGGACCCCATTTTTGCGAGTGATTGTATAAGGGCTCCCCCATCAGGGACAGCACCCATTCTGGGCCCTGCCTGCACCCCCTGGCCCAGCCCAGCAGAACCAGGACCCTGGGAAGGGTGCCCAGAGAGCCCGACACCCCTCACCTGCCAGCTCCTTGTCCATGGTGGCCGAGGGCTGAGCCACATTCTGGTTGTTCATTCGGCCTTTGTACAGGATCCCGTCCACTCCCAGGATGTCCACCTCGGCCTGTCGGATGGCCGGGGCCTGGGTCAGGCGGCCCCCTTCCCGCTCCACTCCTCTCCAGTGTATACAGAGGCCAGAAGACAGAGCGCAGCCTTCCCTGGGGGCGCCCACACTCTTGGCCTGGTCCCATGCCTGGGGCTGGGGTCCCCTGAAGTCCACCCTCCGTGAAGGAGGCCCTGGCCAGACTCACAGTGTCATAATCGATCAGTTCAGGGTCCCCGTAGGGGTACAGTGTTGACAGGTTGTACGACTTGTGCTTCAGGTTGGCATCGTTTCGGGGGCCATCACCCCAGTCCTGCTGGCAGGAGTCCAGGCTCTCCCGGATTCTAAGGTCCCGGAGCTGCAGCCGCTGCTGTTCCCTGGGGCAGGGCAGCAGGTGAGCATCTGCCCGGACCCACCCCCACCACCGTCCCAGAGGAGCCTCAGGACCGGTCCCTGGGAGAGACTGGCATTTTTTCCAGCTTGAGTTTCGGTGGCACAGCCAGGCAGGCCTGGGGCCTGGCGGTGGACACAGACACGCGGTGGGGCAGAGGAGTGAGATCGAGGCTGCGTCTCCCCAGACCCGGCCACACCGGTGGTGTGCCAGGCGCACGCGCCCGGCTCTTGGTCGCAAGGAGTCAGGTGAGGGGAGGTGGGGGGTCGGCACAGCGGTCATTATAACTATTCAGCTGTTCTTCCCCATGTGGCCAGATGTCCCCACAGAGGGGCTGGGCGCTGGAAGGACCCGTAGAGCCGTGGGACGAGAGGAGGTTGAGGGGTGGCGCTGGGACCCAGGGAGCCAGCTAGGGAAGGTTGAAACCGGAGGGTTTGGACAACAGCTCTGCCATGTACTAGCGGTGACCTTGGGAAGGTCATTTAAGTTCCCTGAACCTCAGTTTCTTCAAACGTGAAACGGGATGGTAATAGAACACGCCACAGAAGGGAGTGGTGAGGACCAGAGAAGCCAGGGCGCCTGGCACGGTGCCAGCCGGCCCAGCTCGCGCCCTGAGTGACTTCATTGCCTTTTCCTCCACCGCAGACGGCACGTTAGGCCTGCCGGGTGGGGGCTGGGAGGTCTAAGTGAGAAATCCTACTGAAGCTCTTGGCCCACAGAGATGCCCGGGAAATATGTTGGTTCCCTCGTCCAAGGCCACCTCATGTGCCTGCCTGACCCCCGGCCGGCTCCCGGACGTCACCCCTGTGGATGGCTGGCAATGTCCCGGGACAGCTTTTGGTTCCTGGACGGCAGGATGTGTCTCTGCAGCAACAGGTTCCCAGGTCCCCACCTGCTCACCTCATCTGTTGCCGCTGCAGGTACTCGTAGCCGTTGGCGCTGGCGGGGCGCAGCCGCGACAGCAGATGGGCTTTGCGGATGGTGATCAGCTGTCTGTTGGGCACGAGAAAGAGGCAAGGGCTGTGGGAGGTGCAGTGGCCAGCTGAGGGCTCCGGCTCCCACCCTCTCCAGGAAGCCCTCTCCGCAGGAGGAAGGAGGTGCAGACTTGGTCATCCACGCTCACGCGCCAGAATCATCCACTGCACGGGGCCACCGTGCAAGGGCGCTAGGGAGCCCTGAATAACCATCATAAGACACAAAAAACAATTGTTCTCATTATAAAAGTAAGAACCAGAATAAATAAATCCTGGAAACAGGACACAGATCGGTGGTCACCAGGGGCTGAGGGCAGGGAGGATGGGGAGAAACTGCTTAATGGGTCTGGGGTTTCCTTTCGCGGGGATGAAATGCTCTGCTGGTGGATACAGGTGGCGGCTGCGCAACATGTAGACGTACTAAATGCCGCTGAACGGTTCCCTTTGAAATGGTTAATTTTGTGTCCTGTGTATTTTGCCTCCATAAAGACATAAAAACAGAGTAAAACATCACAGCCTTCTTGGAGGGCTGGAATCCTTCTACACCTCAATCTGAGCAGTGGCTGTGCAGGTGTAAAAATTCATCAAACTGTACGATAGACATTTATGTGCCTTATTTTACATATGTTAAGCCACAATAACATTTTTCAGTCGTACATATTGACTGTCAACATTTTAGAAAATACAGAAAAGCACAAAAAGCAAAGCACCGCAACCACGTGACAAAGGTTTTGATACTCGTCCTTCCAACATTTTTCCATCTTTATGTAATTTTTTAAATGAAAATAAGATCATAACACACATAC